TGTTAGGTTTGGTTAGAAACATTTTAATATAATGATTGGTTAAGGTATAGCTTAAAAGGATTCAAATTTCGCTATATAAACTGGGGTCCCAAAGGAAGTTATTTGGGGACCAACTCCAGGACACAGCCCCAAAGATCAGAGCTGCCAGACCTCAACTCTCTCCCAATGACACCGTACAGAACCTGGAGTCCCCCAGATGGACCTGATCTTGACTGGCCATCAAGAAAAGTTCATGTGTCTTATTGGGAGTGGTGAGCACTGTATGTGTAGCGTGTGCAGTCTGGTTTTGGTGATTGTTAATAAATAGAGCTTATGTAGTATATTACTGGTAAAAGATCCCGTAAACCTGCAAAAGATTAAGCTCTTGAGTCCACAGGGAAAGGGTGTTTCCCCGGAGCCCACGGAGGAGTAGAGCCCGAAGCCCACGGAGGGGTAAAGTTAGGTGCTTTTCACCTGGAGCCCTAGGAACTGGGAAAGAGTGGGGGTACCTAAATTAAGAGGGTTACGCCTTGAGCCCTAAGAACTGGGTAAAGGTGGGTGCCCTAGAGTGTGTGAGGAAGAGAATTTTGTGCCGGTAACAGTGGATTTTCAGCAACTGTTGCTGATCTCACATGGGCAGCAGTTTCTCAGTTGTAACACACACACACCCCACACCCCCACCCCCCAGTGGGAGCCAAAACCATAACATCACGTGACTTAGATATCCAATCAAACTACTCAGATATTAACCCTTGGTAAACTGCTCCTGAAGGAGCCTCCTGGCCTGGGAACCATTTACAGGGGGTTCTAATGTATTTGAGGAAACTCCAACCTTCTCTGAGAAATTCGCAGAGAGACAGAGAGGTGACACTCTTCCATACATCATTCACACACCTCTACTCTCCATGTCTCGTCATTCCCCTCTCACTCTCTCTCAATCCTTTTTCTTCTTGCTAGCTGTTCTCTGGACTAGGGCACATAGCTGTTTTGCCAAGTCTCGTGATTTTCTCACGACTCTTCGTGTATTTCTGAAATCTCCAGCTCCTAGAATCCTGTGATTAACTGAGAATCTCAACTTGGATTTAAAGAAAAAAGTAAGTCTCTGCTCTTCTTGGTCCTAGAGAAAAGCTAGAAAAGGGGACTTGAGTGCAACCTAAGACCAAGACAGCTCCATCTTTTTCACGGACCAGCCTTCCCCAGGTGGCAGAAAGCTCCAACTGTGACTTGCTTCCAACTCTCGGCCCTACCAGCATGTCATTTGGGGGGAGGGATCGCTCAGTGGTTTGAGCATTGGCCTGCTAAACCCAGGGTTGTGAGTTCAATCCTTAAGGGGGCCATTTAGGGATCTGGGGCAAAAATCTATCTGGGGATTGGTCCTGCTTTGAGCAGGGGGTTGGACTAGATGACCTCCTGAGGTCCCTTCCAACCCTGATATTCTATGATTTGATGTAGATTGGGCACGTATACATTATGATGAGGCTCTCTGAGTTTCACTGGAAGAAACAGACATCAGGCAGGTGTACAGAAAAAACTCTGGACATGAGGGGGCTTACACTTCAACTCTCTCAAGATGCAAAGAAAATTGTCTGGTAGTTCTCAAGGTTTAACGTGTCAGTATATCGCTCCTGAGCAAGATCTGCTATACATACAGTGGTGGGTTTGCACAGGTATAACTACATCAGTTAGGGGCGTGATTTTCTTCTGATATGGTTATACTACTACAGCCACTAGTGTAAATGACATCATAGTGGTGAGTATCTTATACTAATGTAGTTTATTCCCCTTCCTGCACAGGAATAGTGTATGTACCTTTATACTAGTCTATACTGGTATAAGCACCTTTATAGGAGTGGATATAAACTGTATATGCCGGTATAACTGCACCCACTCCTTTAACGATCCAGGATGGCCAACCCGCTGCAGCTTTTGGGTCTCGATAAGGCCTGAGTCCTTATCACACTCATGCTTGTTTTCACGCTGTTCTTACATTGTTGAGCTGTTTGTAAGCTCCAGACACTGAGTCACAATGGCCCCGTTTTCAGAAAGGAGGGCCATCAAAACCAGGGCACTTCCATTAGGGTCAAAGTAGCAGTTGCACAAGGAGAGGCCCAGAGACAGGATCCAGCCTCACATTGGATTCTGAGCTCAATCCGGATTCAATTTGGAGCGTCTCTGATCTGATCCAGAGCCTTCCCACTAACTGATCCCTTTTGGATCAGGGCTGGGAGCGAGCACAGATGCGAGCCCGCTGTTTGTTCACAAGCAATGTGCCTTCGGGGCGTTCCACAGGGAACCGGAACCAGGCCGGGCCTGGAATTTGCGAGAAGGTTATGTGCCCCATGACATTCCCTGGAATCGGATTGGGAAGGACGGGGCTGCTCTTGTGACGCTGCTTCAACATTTTGTTCTTGCGATCCTGAGCAGCTCCGGAGAAGTGAAGAGAGATGGGACAAGAGGGAAATGTGTCGGGGTGGCACAGAAGAGATTCCCACCCTATCCACAGACCCTTGCTTTGAAAGGACTCACCCATGCAAGAGCAGGGCCTGATCCTGATTCCCATTCCACCAGTGCAATCCCATGGACTTCCAGATGAACACGGGGGAGTGAGGGGAGGGGGTTGGGAATTGGACCCCTTGCACGGAAATACTCATACAGGGCTGTGGCTTGTTGACCTAATCAGAAAAATGGAGCTCGGATCCCAGCAGCAACAAACAGGGACAGTAAACAAGGCAGGGGTTTTACAGGGCTTAGCCCCTGGAGATGGGACCCCAGCAGGGGCTCTGGGACAATTGGTTTAATGGGGGTGCCGAGAGCCATTGGACCAAACTGCAAACCCTGTATATCAGAGGGGGGCAAACTATGGCTCGCGGGCCACATCCAGTCTGCAGGAGCCTTCCCTCTGGGCCCCGAGCTCCTGCCAGGGAGTGGGATCAGGACAGGCTTGCGGAGGAGCCAACCCAACTCCCTGGCAGCACCTGGCCCCTTCCCTTCGGCTCCCCTCCCTCCCTCCCTCGCAGTCACAGTTCCCCCAGCGCCTGGGCAGTGTGGCTGCGCGGGCTGGCATGGCTATAGCGCCACCAGACCTGGTGCTCCAGGGCGGCGCTGTCAGGGGGTGGGGAGTAGGGGGAGTTCCAGGGGGGGAGGCGAGGAGCAGGGAAGCGGTCAAGGGTCCTGGGCCCTGTGGGCAGGGGCAGAGCAAGCCAGGACCCCCCTCCGCCCCCAGCGTGCTTGGCCCCTGTCCCCAGCAGCCAAGCCCAGACAGGGAGCGAGCCCTGCCCGACTGCCAGGGAGAGCAGCCAAACGAGCAGGGGAAACACACAGGGAAAGGACTGAGCCCCCCTTTCCCCTACCCCACAGGTAGCTATGATGGAAACCACTTCAAGCCAGTACCTTTGGCCTCCAGTTGCTGTCCCAGGTGGGAAGAGGGGGCTATACTCATGGGGGAAGGGGCTAAGGCCCTGGTTTCCAGCTGGCACCTTTGACAGAGTTGGACAACCCACCCAGTGCCTCCCCCGCGCCGGCTGCTGCCCACCCCTCTTGCCCCCTGATTTACGGGAAATCACACCAGGAATCAATCATCCTTAATTGTTAACGGGCCGGGTCCAGAGCCAGCCAATGAGTGCATCCCCTCCACCCCATGCTCCACCCCCAACCGCCCTCTGTGGCCTGAGTGCCTGGGCTCAGGTCTGGACACTGATCACTCCGGAACACAGGGAGCAGGTGGGGCTCTGGGTCTGGGGTCAGATATGAGGCAGATTGCAGCCCTTTTTCGCGTCTGTCAGCCCTTCTTACTTCTCTCTCTCTTCTGCATCTGGTGTCTTTTCCTCCCACTCCCTGGCTCAGCCTCTCAGCCCCTGGCTTTCAGCAGCAGGGGTGGGGAGCTGCTGGGAGTGAACCTAGCATCCACACTGGCCATGTGATGAGAGATTGCGAAAGAGAGAATGGGAAGACCCAGAGTCCGACACAGAGAGGGGGAGGCAGACGGACGGACGCACAGAGAGAGGTGCGCAGACAGACACAGGGACAAGTGGGGAGGGTGGGGGACAGACAGACACAGAAAGGTGGGAAAGACAGACTGAGGGAGGCACTGGGGAGACAGACAGAAGGGATGGACAGACAGACAAACAGGGAGATGGGGAACAACAGACAAAGGGTGTTGAAGGATAGGCAGGCAGAGAGATGGGGGAGACAGAGTGGGAGGATGGACAGACAGACATAGAGATGTGGGGGACAGACAGGCCCTAAGATGAAGAAACAGACAGGCACAAAGGGAGTGGACAGATAGACAGACAGAGATGGGGGGCAGACAGACAGGCATAGAGAGAGTGGATGGACAGACTGAGGGAGTGGACAAACAGACAGATATAGAGATTGGGGGGCAGACAGGCACGCATAGAGAGAGTGGATGGACAGACTGAGGGAGTGGACAAACAGACAGATATAGAGATTGGGGGGCAGACAGGCACGCATAGAGAGAGTGGATGGACAG